TTGCACAGCATCTTATACATATGAGTAAATATCGTGTTTCCTTATAGTTTTATGCTCATGAGCTTCTGAGAATAAATGAGGAGAAATAAACCCTCTTCCACTCATTTTCCATGAGATTCTGTGTGGCTATGAATTTCTGTCTTCAAGTCAAAGATATCATAAAACTATGTAACATCCCTCAACCAGTAACAACACTTTTACCCAATTTACAAATTTAATTTTCCAATGAGAAACATGTGCCTGTTTCCTCTCTACTCGTGTTTGTTAGCTATTCTGTGTCCCCTGAAGCAGCTGATAAACTATAAAGTCAAGCCTTTGAAGTCAAACATCACATCTGTACTGAATGGAGCCATGGAGAAAGACTGGACAGTTAGTTGTGTATGTGGGGCTGTTTCCACAGATTAGTTAAATGTGTGCTGTAATTGAATGCAGTGGTGAAAGGAACTTAGTAAGCAAGCATTCATCAAATATGTATTGCACCCTATGGAATTTTAAGTCTGTGTCCTTAGAGAAAAAGAAGGCTGTCCTATCTGCTCTTAATTTACATTTTTCCTAAACCATCACAGCAGTAGAGGTCTAAATGGCCTTATAAGTGTTTGCTAATGTGAAAATCATGAAAGGAAAGGAACAGTAACAGTATAAGTATGTCTTCTTGCACTGGATTGCCCTTGTTTTCCTCAAGGATTGTACATTTTCCCCAGGCCTTGTTGACCATAGATGGATGGTGACAATATCAGACATCATTCATTGGTTGTTTAACTATTCAGCGACTGAATTGTTTTATTTTTCCTGAGTATTCCACAACATTTTGTGGTCTTAATAATTCATGCTAACTCTATGTGAGAGAAAATGAAGTACCATCAAATGGTACTTAACAAACTATGGATGTTAGAAAAATCTAACAAAAACCCATAACTGATTTTTAATTGATATTTATCTCTAGTTGTTAGAATGTATGAAGTACATTAAGAGGAATAAATCTTTTAAAACATAGTTCTTTTGATAATTGTTTTACTAGTGTCTGTTAGTCCCTTCAAAAATAAATTTGCAATTCTTTGTCTTTTTTGAAAATAAATTATTTAAAAGATTTTCATGTTACATGAAACACTGAGATTAATAATTTAAATTGATTTTTGAATAATAAAACTAAAGTATACTTGCAATTATTGAGAAATAGTTTCTATCTGAATCTATTTTTGGCTAATACTTATATATTTGCTGATTAAAAAGTTACCAGGCTTGCTGGAGAGATAGATGGCTCAGCAGTTAAGAACACATACTAGTTTTGCAGAGTTCTCTTCACCCATATCAAGTCTGAAATGACCTATATCGCCACCTTTGTGGGATTTGGTGCCCTCTATAGACCTCCATGGACACTACACCCATATTCATGTGCTACACACACACACACACAAACACACACACACACACACACACATGCATGCACAAACAACAAAAATACCCTTTTAAGGAGCACTTTAAAATCATTATATTAGTGAGGTGTTTTCCCCTTTGTACATTGACTAAGAATCTGCAGTAGATTACATACTTATTTATCGCTGTGGGCTTATTTCTCCTGAAGAAATTATTTCCTTATTGCTAACTAACCATCAGCCCATCTTCCTCATAATTATACGACTAATACTTGAGGGAGAAAATGACCTTGAAGGCTTTTTTCAGTTTCATTGTGTGGTTTCATTTTAAAATATAAATAACAAAATAAAAACATTTTCCACAAAATATCTGATATCTAATTAATGCTTTCCAGAGTAAGTGTGGTATCAAACATTTCCTCTAATTATATTCATTAGTGGCTTCTCTAGGACAAGTTTTAATTAAGTTGTACAATGAAGATCAATACTCGTTGTGTATTCATTGTAATTTACAACACACATATATACTGTTCAGAACAATTTAATTACTGTAATTGTAGCAAAGAAGACACTTAGAAATTACACTCTATTACTGCCAATCCCCTCTTTAATAAATTTGTTAAAGTCACTGGGAAATAAACTTCGGAAAATTCACATTTGTGTGCACCCTGTCTACATTTCAGTTGTTTTAAATACTGCTTTACAATTTTTGTGAATGTATATACACAATACATGTATAAGTGTGTGTGTATAGAAATCGAGGCATTAATGACATTATTAAAAGTGTCTTTCACATATTCCATCATAATATTAATAAACTATTAAAATGTAGATAAGAGTATCCATCATATTAACACTGATTTTTTTGAAGTATAATCTAAGGGAAAGGCATGGGTAAACTACCCTACTATATGTAAATTAAACCTCTACTGTTTTATTAATTCATATTCTTATATAAGTGTTCATTTTGTTTTAAATTAATACTTTCAAGTATGTTAAATTTTATTATGGGATATTCTTTCTATAGCACTATAAAAATAAAAGTAAAGTAGTTCTTAACATTGGAACTACTGAAACTTAGAAATCATAATTATTGTTTGGGTATCTTGGCTTTTTAGAGGGCAATGGTTAGCCACATGCTTGACTTTTCTCAACTCCCAGTAACTGCTTTTGAATGCTGCTTCAGACACACCTTCTGGATAAGCTCACTGATAAGATGATTCATTCATAAGGTACACATCTATTGACAATTTGAGCTAAGCCAGGTGTGTACACTTCAATTGGTGTTTTGGTCTTTTTCAAGGTTTAATTTTTTGTTTTTCTGCATGTGTATTTCTCTCTCTCTCTCTCTCTCTCTCTCTCTCTCTCTCTCTCTCTCTCTCTCTCTGTATTTGTGTTTGTAAATATGTACATGTGAGGGTAGGTCCTTGCAAAGCCCAGAAATGGGTATCATCTGCTGAGTTGAGGTTCCAGGCTTATATGATCTTCTTGATACTGGTGATGGAAACAAATTCCATGTATCCCGCAAGAACAGTGCAAACTCTTAATTATAGGCTCCCTTTCCATCCTCAGTGAGAAGTGCTGCTCTGCTAGAAGGCTGCTTATCAATTCCAGGCATTCCTATGCACTCACACCACTTTGGATTGCAGATTGAAGCTCAACTGACTACAGCACGTAACACACTCTGTTTATATGAGCTAGTTTATCTCACCTACACAGGCATACTGCTGCTCAATATCGGAGATGAACCAAAGGAATCATTAAAATGAATAAACATAACAATTAAGTGTTCACTCCCCTGGCATTTAGTCATGTCTAGACAGAGCCCTCGTGTCCCAGATACACTGAAAGGAGGACAAGGACATTTATGTTTAATGTAACCTTATTCCCATGGAGACGAGAAAGGCTAACAACACAGTAAGATGAAGAGCATGGCTCTTACTGAAGAGAGAGATACAGTGTCATGTCTGCAGGACTTATGTGATCAAGATAATTGTGATTTGTTTAATTTCTCTTCTTTTAATGCTTGATTTTCAGCAAAGGCAACAATCCTTGAAGGAATTCACAATTCTATAAACAATATGAAGCCATATGGTTAAATTAGGTTAAAATGATGATTTTAGTAGTATGAAGTAAATTTTTATGTTAAATGCTTACAAGTTTTAGAAAATAACGAAATACCCAAATTTCCAATTTTAGTTGTGATTCTTGCTCTCTCATAGTGATTTTCTTACTTTCTAGATAAGGTCTGACGATTCATTTCCTTGCCTATCAGCTTTTGATGTTGGATTCTCCTCTGAATGCCGTGAATCAGTTTTCCTACCATTGGTTAATAAAGAATCTGCTTTGGCTAGGCAGGCAAGAAAACTAAACTAAATGTAGAGAGAAAAAAGGCAGAGTTGGCCTGACACCATGTTGCTGCCAAAGGAGAGAGACATAAGAACTTAGCAATAAGCCTCGGCCTCGTGGCGATACAAAGATTAATAGAAATGGGTTAATAAGATATAGAAAGTAGCTAGAAATATGCCTGAGCCATTGGCCAAACAGCACTGCAAATAATACAGTTTCTGTGTATTTATTTGGGACTGAATGACTATGGGATCAGACAGGGCAGAAACTCATATCAACTATCTCTTTTTATTTTATACTTCAAGCTTACACTTGCAGATATAATAATAAATTTATTATATCTCCTGTATGTGTTATAGGTAGTTTCAAGAAATTACATATGGCTATTCTTTTGCTCAGTCTATCAAGCTCCATTAAAATGGTTCAGTTACATTGTGGCTTAGACAAATCTATGAGAAACAGATGTTACAAACAAACAAAATACCCATACCTGAATTATGTAATTAGCTCTACCCTTTAAATTGATTTAATTTCCCAATGACCAAATACAAGCACAATGTGTAAGAATATGTTGGTCAATGTGACTATGTGTACTTACTGTTGATTCCCTTGTAATGATGAAATTCATATCAGTCCTGGGATTTATAAATATATTATGACTTCAAGACATAACGTATCTTAAAAATTCAGCTTGAGCCACTTTTTAAGTCCCAATTGTTTCTAAGTAGAAGACATCTGGAATACACAGTACTCTGAACTATAGCAACAAGCATTGAATTGCTATATTCTTCATTTTGAGTAAAAATATATAGATTTGTTTTTTAATTAAACTTTTAAACTTGTATTGAAGGTTTTGATTATCAGTGTGAAAATGTTAAATATGTTTATAAAATGTTTATTGTTACTTAATCTAATATTTGCCAGTTCATAGCAGCTTTTGAGGGAAAAGAAAAAAGCTTAGCTATAACTTTTAAGGCTATAAATTAATGTCAACTCTAAGTTTTTACTTTTTTTTCAGTACTATTTATTTCTTCCTATTTGTTCTTTTTCTCTTATTTGATAACAACAGGATTTAGGGTTATAAATAGTTTAAGTGCTTTGGTTACAATTCTCCATTCATTTATTACAAAATAACTGTTTTCTCTCATTATAATAATAATTTGTCACCCTTGTATTCATCATAAGAACACATAATCTAGTCTTAGTAATATGCACGGTATCCATCTCAATGGGGTGAAATACGGATATACTCAGTTTGTTGTTTTTTTCTATTTACAGTGAATTTATTGGATTCACGCACTGTCATGGGGGACCTTGGATGGATTGCTTTTCCAAAAAATGGGGTAAGATCTTATGAAAGTTTCCATAAAGCATAAGCTAAGTACATAGCCTTCAGGCTACAAAAGTAAGATTGAAATTTACTTGGACATATTTGTTAATAAAAGATGGCTATTTCTATCAGGTCGTATATGGTGGAATTTCAAAATAGTACTGACCGAAAAAAAAATTAACCAACAGGGGTTTTCCATAAGTACCAGATGCATTGTTTTCATCTCAGTATTTCTCCATGAAGAGAAATTTTCCTTCAGCACCTAGGAAAGTCAGTGCTTTGCCACTACCTCTGGAAAGTTGCTGAGGAAACCTAGTTACGTCTGTGTGCAATGTTAATGGACTTAGAAACCAACTCATCTTTTATTTCATTTCCAGAAAAAGTCGAAATCATGACAAGAAATTCTGTTACGTTCATATCAGTCTAAAAGCAGGTCAAGTGTCAGTCCCGTCATCATCCAAGAGTTTCTTTCTGAATCTTGAAGTTTTCTTCACTGTAAACTCTTCAGAAAAGATTATCTCACCAAAATATTTCTACGATTAATATTTTATTAAATTATTTATTGAAATACATTAAAGCAAAATCATTAAGTTGATTAATAAATGCCATTTTAGGACTATGTACAACATTAATAGTTTGACAAAATTTCTAAGCCAACACTATACTCAATTATCTTGACAAAATTCCCCAATTTAGTTATTTGCTTCAAAATTATACTTAAGGTGTTTCAATTGATCTTACTTTAATAGTCATGTAAACAATTAATTTAACATCTCTCATATATTTTTTTTATGGGATTGAAATAATTTTAAGCAAGAGAATATTAAAAAATACTTGTGATAGAAACCTAATTATACAAAATAATTCAATGATTATTTTCTAATTAATGAAAACAATGGTTGAATTAATTATTCTTTGTGCTGATGAGTTTTGGTCATCCTGACACATGCTGGAGTTTTTGGGAAGAGTAAGCTGAAATTGGGGTATAGCCTCTCTCTACATTTGTAGAGCATTTTCTTAATTGTAATTTCTTTGGGAAGGAATCAACCACTGTGGGCTGTGCCACCTGCCTGCAGGTGGCTTTACATGGGCTAAGTAACCAAGCCTAGCAATCCTTGTAGTCATCAATGACCCCCACCTCTGGTCTTATTTGAGTTCCTGCCCTTTGCTCCCTCAGATATTAGCAAAATAAACTCTTTCCTTCCCATGTTGCTTTAGGTCATGTTGTTTATCCCAGAAACAGGAAACAAACTAAGAAAACCCTTCCCTAAGAAAGTTATTTTAAGAAAATAATAGAGGTTATATTAACTTTTTAAATTCCTAATTATGTGTTATAAATCCTTACATCATCTAGCTTTATACAGTTCAGCAACATCAAATATCTTTGATGTTTCAAATTATAATTGCACTTATAGATACAATTGTAGGATATTATTTTAAGATATGTTACATTTGTTTATACTGTGAAACCTTTTTTTAATGATGCAAAGAGGTATTGCATTCTTTCATGTTGCTTTAGTTTAACTCTGTGAAGCTGTGTTACTTTACCTACCTAAAACATCTGATTGGTCTCATAAACAACTGAAAGTCAGTTAGCTGGGTAAATAAAGTATAGGTGGGGCTGGCAAGCAGAGTATAAATAGGAGGAGAAGAAGGAGGATCAAGAAGGAACAAGAGAAGGAGGATGCCAGGGGCCAGCCACCAGCCCCACATCCAGCCATGAAGAGTAAAAGTAGGATATACAGAGTAAGAAAATAAGAAAGCCCAGAGACAAAAGGCAGATGGAATAATTTAAGCTAAGAAAAGCTGGCTAGAAACAAGCCAAGCTAAGGTTGGCCATTCCTATAAAAGAACAATGTCTTCCATGGGAGTTATTTGTGAGATGGATGGTGGACCTGCAAACGAATAAGTTAAAAAGAACAAAGAGTAAACAACAACTAGCAACATACATTACTAAAAGTAATATGGTTCAGATGATAGAATCTGTACACTAAAAATTGATTGAGACAGATGAAATGACTCTTAATGTAACCAAGTCAATTGTGTCATTTTTAACCTTTTTATATTGCATTTTGTTCCTTTTGCTCTATTAAAATTCTATAACTGCTATTATACATGTATATGTGTCTTGCTGTGTATGTGTGTCTATTATATTGTAGAGTATATACCCAAAATGTTTTATTTAACAAATATATTAAGTGTCCTTTTTGAATATCTGATGAAAATGCATTTTAAAATTACATATTTACAGGTCTCAGAAAATGTGTTATTCCCTTTGAATTTAGTTTTATCTTTTGACACCATTTCAACTGGAAATTTATTAAAACAGTGTTGAAAGTATATGTCTGAGTGACTATAAATATGATGTTATAGTTACTCTTAGGACTGAAAGCTTTGGGAGGCACAGTTTAATTCTTGTACCATTCCTTTATAAAAATCAAAGATCTCTGTATAAGGACCAAGCTCTTAGTAACATTTCAACAATATTCTGTTACTTTGTTTGTTTTTTTAATTACAATCTTTGTAATAATACTAGTTTCTTTTCTAGATTGTAAAATAATGCTCATTACTTTTAGGATGACTGTAGGTTTTTATGCATCATATTGTCTTTGACAGAGCTAACTTGTAACTATGAATACTGAAGAAAGATATGTTAATTTAAAGAAATTTAGTAATTTTTTTAAATTTTGTTTTACAAGTAGAAAAATTTGTATGAAATCTTTAAATCTTTATATTTTTCTTGATAGGTGGCATTTATTTGCAAGATAATAGAGGTGATAATATTATTTTAAGTAAAATCAGTGTTCAAAGTCTAAATGAGTTTAGAAATAAATGTACAAGTTTTTAATGTAATCTGAACAGATTGTGAAATTTATAATTATATAAGCAATATCATATTGTGTGAAATGTAAGTTATTGGAATAATGTCAACAAAAGTTATAGAATATTGGCCTCTAATAATTTTCTCTTCTATGAAAGTCAGAGCAATATTGGAAGAGATTCTCAGAATCTGTGTTTTTAAAGTCTAGAAATAAACCATGATCTGACAGTAACCTAGAGAACATTTATTAAAAAAAAATACCCTCAGTTTTGTAAGAAAAAAAAGGCTTGTATCTTGTGTTTTTTACAACTGTCAATCTCTCAGGAATCCCTGAAATACCTGAATCCACCAGCTGAGCAGGCACTGAAAAGCAGAGAAAGATAGAAAATCACTCATGCTCCCAATTGCAAAGAACTGTCATTATTTGATGTCTGTTAAGTTCCTAGAAGATTGATTAAGATTAGAATTTTAACACTCTTTGTCAGATTATTTTTCATCTTGGAATTTGTTAGAAAGACAAGTATCTACTAATTTGTAGGTAAAATTTGATATAAATACTAAAGTTACCATTTAGTAAAACTTGTTGGACACCAGAAGGAATGCTGAAGAGGAGAACTGTGAACTTGCCAAGGATGTAAGCCTGCTCCATTAAGAACTGAGATTGATTTAAGTTTTACTTTTGAGTGGTCTTGAGATCTTATACAAAAGAAAAACAAACACAGTTGCTTAGATAAAAGTTCAATGAACGTGTCAATAGGCACAGGCAGTCACTTGGTGACTATAAGAACACTTTAAGAACACTTACGATTTGGAGAGAATTTTTTTTTCAGGTATTGTCTAGTATTTAGTGAAACAATCACATTGATGGTCGCGTATAGGGAAATATACTGTTTTGAGACTTAGTTTAGAATGGTGATTTTACAAATAATCCACAAATGCTGGAAAGTGGGAGCAATCTAAATTGACAGATGCCACCAATATGTTTAAAATGTCTAGTTTTCCAACAAAACCAAGCAGAGTATAAGGAACAACGTGTGTTATAAACAGGGATGACAAAAGTAAACAAGAGAAATTACATTGAGGATTCCTGGCATCGGACTTAGTAGGTGTAGACTTTATTAACTTTAATAAGCAATTTAAAATATGTAGAAAGCCGGGCGGTGGTGGCGCACGCCTTTAATCCCAGCACTCGGGAGGCAGAGGCAGGCGGATCTCTGTGAGTTCGAGGCCAGCCTGGTCTACAAGAGCTAGTTCTGGGACAGGCTCCAAAGCCACAGAGAAACCCTGTCTCGAAAAACCAAAAAATAAAATAAAATAAAATAAAATAAATAAATAAATAAAAAATAAAATATGTAGAAGACTAAAAGGAAATGTAAGACAGTAAGACTAAATAAAATATAACTTTATCTCATTTAATTCAGAATGACAATAGGGACTGATTATCTTATAAGGAAACATATTATATAGAGGGAAAAATGTAAAACCTGAACAAAAGAATCCACTACAAATATCCAACAAGAGGCTTGGTCGAGTAGAAGAAAGGGAGAATAAGGGCGGAAGTAGAACAAAGGGGCTCTCCCTGTCTGAAAGGGAGACAATGAAAAGGGCATAAGTAGCTCAAAGGGACAGGGCCAATTCGTGAAGATGAAGTAATTGGAATAATCTCATATTTGAAATAAAACAAAACACATATTTATCAGCAAACATAAGTAAAACAAAAAGGTCCACAATTGTTAAAACCAGAGAGAACTTTGTGGCAGCATCGTGTGAGAAATATCTCACCATGTATCACAAATACTCAGTAGTACTATTATATGTAGATAATTCATTAAAAATTAGTTAACCCCTAGTGTATTTAAATGCTAAAAAAAGAAAGCAAGTCTCTCTAGAAAGAATTGCATGCCCAGCAAAAGTAAATTTAATTTAAGGAGAAATTGGCACTTTCTCTCATTAAATAAAATATCAGACATATTTTTACTGGAAATATCTAAGAAATAGGTTATAAAAAGCAGAGTTCTATTTTTTAAAATAGAACTTTACTAGTATCTCTCAAACTTTGCTTTTTATCCTCCCTATTTCATGCTGATAAAAACATAGAAAGTGATAAATTATATTTTTCATAAGTTTGCACATTTATTTTAAGGAACAATAATTGATTTGAGAATGGTTTATTTATAGAATAATTTTGTGAC